TTTTATAATGATTCCCAATAGTTTCAGCATACATGAAGCCAGTATAATGGGACGGTAGCTGTCTGGATTTTCTGGATTTTTATTGGATGGATGAGATACTCTTTCCACTGATCAGGTATGGGGTCACCCCTCATCAGGTTGTTGTATATGTACAGGAGTTGATGTTTGGCTTTTTTTGGGAAATTTGAGATCATGGAGTAGGAGATTTCGTCAAGTCCCAGTGCTGAGTCTTTTTTTCCTTTAGTGCAGCGTAGAATTCACCTAAAGTGAATGGGATGTGTTCTGCCGCATCTTGGATAATGACCTTTGCTGGGTTGCAAAAGCTGCCAGCCTGTCTAGAATTTTCGCTCTTATATCGTCTGTGGTAATTGTTTGGGATTGTTTTTCGTGATTGCCAGCAAATTTTCTAACTTTAGATCAAACTTCCTTGATGCTAGAGTCCCTGTTGACTGAAGGCCATGAATTTTTGTTTTTTCTTTTTCCTGAAAAAACGTCTTGTTTTTGCAATAGTATGTTTCATTTCTATGAACTTTTCCATAGATGGGTTATTTCTGTAGTCCCTTATAGCTGTTTTTCTTTTTTGGAGTTGTTCTGTGGATTCCTGGTCCCACCAGGAATTTCCAGTTTTTTTCCTGCCGTTATCTGATGATTTTGGTATGTGCTTGTTGACAGCCTCTTGGATGACGTTCGATAGTGTGTTCCATACTGGGGGGTCCGCAAGGGTGTCAGTTTTGAGGTTAACTTCATTGTAGTATTCTGTCCAGTTTGTCTTGTGGAATTTTCTTCTTGGTATGTTGCTAACTATGAATTTTGTTGCGTGGTGTTGCCTTGTCCTGACATTTAGTTTGGCTATTGTGGGGAAGTGGCTGTAGCCACAGTCCGAAGCTCTCTCCCACAAGAAGCGAGAGGCCATTTCCAGATTAGTGAACATGATGTGTATGGGGCTTGGGTTTTCGTTTGGAGGTTGGATTCTTGATTCTTGTGCTTTCACCATCGTTTAAGATGATCATATCGTGGTTGTTTATAATTTCCGAGAGTTGTCTTCCATTAGCATTTATGATATTGCTGCCCCACTCGTGGTGGTGTGCATTTAGGTATCCCATAAATACGATGTTTCCAACCAACTGTGCAAATATGTTTTCCATATGGTTTTTTATTTCAGGAGATTGGTGGGGGGCATATACTGTGATTATGTTGAGATTTTCTATTTTGATTATTTTGTGTTGAATAATGTACAGGAGTTAGCATTATTGATTGGACGTTCTGAGTAGATAATGTTGTTTTTGAGGCAAATTGCCACTCCTCCGATCATGTCTGTCATTTCTTAAAACATGGTAATTCTGTAGATGAAAGTGTTGACTTGGTTTGAGCCAGGTTTCGTTCAATAGGACGACATCTGAGTTATATTCTCTGAATATGTTGAATTTCTGGTCGCTTGTTGGGAGACGGTCGTTTGTGATACAGTAATTGCTTCATTTTCTTCTGTTTTTTTTTGCCAGGTGGACTGGAAAGCCATTTGGACGATAGGTGTATTGTCCAGCGTATTGTGATGCTTCTCCGTAGGAAGAGTATGTTTTTGGGCACATTTTTTGCGCATCAAAATGGGGAATATTTTCATATACCATAAGGTTTTTGATGTTTTTCTGTCTGGTGAACTCTGGACAATTTTTTGCGATGCTTATGGGGTCAAGGCTTTTGCAGTGATAGCATTTTTTTGTACACTGTGTTGTGGGTTCTCCATTTTCGTTTAAATGTTTCGTGACTAGTTTCTCCGCAATCGAAGCATTTATTTTTTCCTTTGCAGTTGGTTTTGGTGTTTTCATAAAGTAGGCATGAGTAGTACTGGGTGACAGGGGGAATATATGGAGTGACTGGCCTGGGGAGGCCGTAAAAGGTGACTTCTCGGGGCATGGTTGTGCCATCAAAAACTAGGATAACTGAGTTGGTTGCTGTGTATTCGAACTTTTTACTCTGAGGGTATTATGGTTTCTGTTTAGGACTCTTATGTTTAGTCTGATAATATTAACGATTTTATTGGCTGAGTTGAATCCTCTTTTCAAGGAGTTGATGTCGATATCAGGATCTATTCGACGCACAACACCTTGCAGGACGTGTAATTAAAGGGGATCATCAGCCTTAGGCCTCTACTTATTAGTCTTTGTTCATTGAGAAAATCATTAGCTGAATTATAATCAGTAAATTCAATTGCAATTTTATTTCTACCTTTTTAAATTTAGATCAAAGATTTCTTTGGCTATTTTTAAATCAGAATGGCGTGTGAAAAATTGTAAGCAAGTACTATCTTGCGCACGCTCGTAGGAAAACCATCTTTCATATGTCAGCTGGGTGATTTCCAAAGCAAAATATATCGATAATATGTAAATAGCTAAACTAAAAACGCCACCTGATACAGGTAATATTTCAAAATAACGACGTTACAGCAATACACGCAGGAGCAAGTTTTTGTTGTATCTTTGAAATCTATTTGCGCATAGCTCTGTTCCAACCGACATGAAAACCATTCTAGAACGGTAATTTTTAGTCGATCAACGGTTCTCATGTCGGTTGGAACCAGAGACATGAGTATGAAATGGACTGCGTGTTCCGTATAATTGCCGTACGCGGCAGTGATGGAAAGATGGTTAGGCAACCAGTCTTTCGCATTGTGGGCAAGAAGCTACACAAGCGCATTACCCACAACGAGAAATAACACATAATTTCATTTAAAGGTGACATATAATTGGTAATCCATAGTGTATCATTGAAAACTAAATACCAGACGTGCTTAAATGTATGTATATTGTGCAGACCTGTGAGGCAAAAAAATAAAACAACACTTAAACGTTAGATAAAAAAACTTGTTATTCCTAAACAATTCTTGGGCAAATTCAAAGGCACAAAATACTAGATTGTAAGGTACAAATACTTATATGTAAACTTAAATTTAGGATTTAGATGCAAAACTGATTTTAATTCTACTGGTTCCTAAAAATTACAAGTTTTGTATACATTTGCCTAACTCTATCAGTGATTCTACTTGCTTCCTTATTCTGATAATGGATTCTAACGAGAAAATAAACACGTAAAATTGCGTTGATCAGCTGAAGTAAATGATTATTAATAGGATCTTGGTCCAATATATGATCACCAAGCCCCTTAAAATAATTGTGAATGTTCATGTCACTCATGGTCCATATTATAATTTTTTTGAGTGTAGTGTTTAGAGTGGAATGAGCACGAAAATTTTTTTCGGCTAAACTGCACAGTTTTATTACATCTTCTGATGCCTTACATAATCCCCCAAGATCTTTTCTATTTAGTAAAAGTGATGACGACTCATCAGAAAACAAAAAATTACAACAAATCGCGTATCCAACACTAACGTATAACAAGTGCGCGCGGATATCTGCCCCTAATGTGCAGTTAGGGTTGCCTACCATGTTTACATCACTATTCGTGCCGTACGCCCAGTCCATTTCATACTCATGTCTCTGGTTGGAACAGAGCTCTTATCATCCTGGGTCACTATGAGTGGAAATGTCGGTTCTACCAAACTTTTCCTGAAAAGATAACTTGTAGAGCTTAGAGCTCCTAATTACCATAGCAAACCTGAATAATTCCTCCTTAATTCTTTGAGGTGTGGTTTTGTCGTTCTGTCATTAAATTTTGAAACCAATTTGGATATCAAGAGCATACTTTTGTCGGGAGTGGGCCATTCCGCGTTATTTCTCCAAAATATTTTGGGTTGCAAATTGGTATATCAGCACAGAGGTCTAGGTATCTATCTTTTGGGCATATCTGTCAGACCTCATAACATATTCATAATCACATTGTACGTTTGAATTTGAACCTTCTATGCTCGTCTTAGGGCGGGTATTATAAAACTATTTTGACAGATAGCAAAAAGTTAACTTATGGAATTACTATGGGAAGTAACGACACTCCAGAAGTTAACTGTCAAAATGGTTTTATAATACCGACCCTAAATCATAGCATAGCTATAGCATAGTGGCTGGCGTGACGCAACGTAGCCGAATGATTTTCGGCATTTTGAAGTTGCACCGACGTTAATTAGATGAATCTCAATATAAGGTCTGTTTCTGCAGAAATCACAAACCAGTCAGAGTGAATTTCATTGGTTGAAACTAGTTTTCTGACTGTTTTCAACCAATGAAATTCGCTCTGAGTGGTTTGTGAGTTCTGCAGAAACAGACCTAAAAAAAGTAGTTGAATACAAAAAAAATATTTGGTTATATCAAGCATATATTTTACCCAATTTTAAAAGTATAGTCACTTTTCGCGACCAACCAGCCGATCGGCTCACCGGGAAATTTCCCGGTCTCCCGCCTGTCCCATCAGTCCCTTCGTTCTACCTTACTGAGCGTTTTTTTTTTACCTTTTACGTTTAAACTAACAACCAGAAACCCACGTCCACGTCTCGCAATAATATTTCTTACTTTTCGGGTTTGACGTAGTAAGGTAAACAAACCCAAACGTCCATTCGAATAAAATCGAACTGTCAAATGTTCTATGACCGCCAGTAACCCAGGTCCTACATAGGTTACTGAATTTAATACCGTGTTATAAATGCGTGACGTCATTGATTTCCCCTATTGACGTCATAATAACTTCCCCTATCACCGCTGCCGTGCTAAAATTTCAAAGGTTAGAGATTTTCAGTTACCGTTTATAACACGGTTACAAACGGTTAGTCTCTAAAAAATCCTTCTAGTATATTCCCCATATTTTGACATCCCACCTGCAGCGAATACCTTCACAGGTAGAAGTTGAGTTTTTTTTCTGATATGGCAGATTCTAAAAATGTAGGTAAAACTCAACAATTTTCATATTTACACCCTTCTTTCACCTGCTGAGGTGAAAGCTGCAGATGGGGGAAAGAATCTTGTCATTATCCTCATTCTTCTGTAAAAGGTGGTAATCTCAACCAATCATGATGCTATAAATTCACTGAAATTAACCTAATTAATTTCCATGGTTAGATGAGCCTTACAGTCCTGAAGATTCGGACCCCGACACTCCCGACACAACAGCACCCGACACAGTCTCACAGACAACCATTTCAACAATGATGTCATCAGATACAACCACTTCTAGTAATTATTCAACAATCCCGGGTAACACACAATTATTCACTTTAAAATATTTCTTAACTAATCCGATTTCGATTATTATTAGGTCTCGGTGAAGGTATCCTACCAACAAAACTGGACATGCAAAGGCAAATGGAGGAACTCAATAAACAAATTGAACAGCAAAAATCCGAAATAACCAGCATCACGAAAAATATTGCCACTTCCGCCGATTCAGAAATCGTCGGTTCAGCATTGGCCAGCATCGCCTTGCCCAGTAACCTCCAACAAATTTTAGACAGCATCAAAACTATCAGTGGAGACACTGTCAGCAGTGATTCTTCGGTAAGTAACTAAGACTTTTGTATAATATGAAGTAATTATCAATAAAGCTAACCTTTTTATTATTTTGCCTTGCAATACAAATATTTTATCATTTTTACAGTCTTCACAGTTGGTTCCTCCGCCAGAACAGGAACTTACGATACCACTTATAATCCCGAAAACCTTCTCAAGACCCATAAGTGAGACCATACCTTTGAATTTACCGACCAAATCAAAACTTGTTTCGAACGAATCGTCTTCAAGTAGCGTCTTGAGTTCACTAACCGAAGCAGATTTGATTAAAAAAGCAAACGAAATGTTAGAGGACGAAGGGAAAGACAGTAAAAAGAAAGTCGTACCCAAAACGCCACCGCCGCCATCTTTAGTGAGTTTTTCCATTGTGAAAAAGTCAAAATTAGACGTTAAACTGCCTCCCGTGCCTGGTATTGACGATTGAAGTGTTGAATATAGTGATTATTGGCTGAGGAATAATTAGGATTCAGATTCATGAATCATATTGTGTATATGATTTTTATTAATCTAAGTGAATTATGGTTAATAATGACCTAAAAAAACAATTACATGATTGGACAGTATTTTAGAGAATGAAGCATATTGTGTAAATAATAATTATTAATCTAAGTGAAGGCATTAAGGTGAATAATGCCCTAAAAAAAACAATTGCATAATTGGACAGTACTTTAGACAATGAGTTATTTTTAAAAGAATATTTGGGGTATTTAATTGTTTAACATTATATCGCATTTACTTAGTTGAGAGTTAGGTATTGATTGTTTTTTTTTTAATTGTAAATATACTAGATACTTAGTAAGAAGTGCAATGGTTTCAATTTATTAAATAATTTTTACTGCCTGAGGAACATGAACTAACCAAAAACTGTAATAATTTAATTTCAAAATTATCATTATTATTATAATTTATTGTAAATGAACATCTATTTGCATTACCTCAATTTAACGAAGATGCTACGAAAATATCAGGAAAAAATTCAGTCAGCTCAGTTAACACACATCTCAACATGATAGAGCGCCGCCTCACAACACTTGTGCTTATGCAATTTCTTGGATTAGTGCTTTCCCAAAAAATTTATCGGCAACCAAGAAGGTTTTTTCCTCTGCAATAGTACTAAGTCGCTTCAATGGAGTGAAATTTATTTTGGAATTTCTTTTCAAAAAAGCCAAGAAGAAAATAACGATTCTGCAAAATGTCGGAAGGTAAATTAGATGCTATTTATACTAATCCACTTGCAAACTGGAAAACTTCTAACGCACGGGCCAAAGTCACATTTTAGATTGTTACACCATTTGCTTTATGTACAAAATAATAATTAATTTAGGTTTCTATATAAATTTGTTTTATTTGAAAACAAATCTTCTGCTGAGGAGGTGAAGCTACACTTGCAAAGTAGTTCTATGGACCTTGGGTGTTCTACAGTTAATACTGATTAGAACACCTTGACTGTCCCATGCCATCGGTCACATATGATTCATAATATGTTTTTTTGAGCTAAGTTAATCGAAAAGTTAACTTCGTTAAGTGTTAATTCGCTACCTAGAAAGTTAACTTCGATAATCGTTAAATTTTTAAGAATATAATGCAAGTTAAAGTTCTCCGTTAGGAGTTGATCATCGAAAAGTTATATTGATGTTTGAAGCTAATTGGCTACAGCCTACCTAACAACAGAACTAAGAGCTTGCACATCGATCTCACTACAAAATCGGGTTTGGAGTCAAGTAGTTTTGGTTTGAAAGTAGGAGCGGTTCCGGGAACAAATGGTTTTATCCAACTTGTTCCTTCATGTAATGCATATATGAATAAATGACAAGAAAAATTATTAATTGAATAAATACATTTAATCATCAACTAATACATTCTGGTATCTCATCTTCGACGTTAGCTCGTCGTCTGCAGTATACCTCACAGTTCCTGGAGGAATTAACGCACCAACAACATTACGTCCTTCGGCATTCAAAAAATTAAAAGTAGGACACGCGGATTCTGTTGGAAGAATTTCCAAATTGATTTTGTATTTTCTAGAAAAGTCCATCAAATTCTTATATACCAAATGTGTATCTGCGCAATCGCCAGTACCAATGACTATAATATCAAGTTTTGGTTCTAAAACTTTAAATAACGATAGGGAATCTTCGTTGACTTCAGTTACGCCACTTATGTTCCAAGCTAGGACAGATCTGCAACAAACATTTTAACAATTTGGGATTAAGTGGAGGCTTGAATCTGGTTTACCTTTGAAATATCACCATGGGTCCAAGGATAGTCAAATTGTTATTTAGTCTAAATCCAACCTGAAAAATGTCTCCTATTTAATCAAGAAAAAACTTTACTAATAAACAAAATGTTAAATCTTTTTAATTAGATGCCATTCTTTATAGGTACTAATCTAAGGTTTATACCTCCCAAAGGCAAAACTACATTAAGTTAAAAAAATAGCCAATAGATTTTGCAGGTTGGGTTATTGAAGTCATTTCTCAAGATTGCTGTTTTACCATTTTATCAACTATCTTTCTAAATTCTGTTGTAATTTTGACAAATAATTCGTTCATTTTAACGTATTAAGAGGAGCAACTGGAAAGAGTTAATGTTATAAAAGACCTTGGAGTTTATATTGACAGTGAGTGATTATCATATAAATTATATAAGAAAGGAATAATAGTTATTTACAATACAAGTGCGTTCATGAACATGATAACAATAACAAGTGTGAAAGATTAGAACGACGAGGTTGTGGACCAAGTCGTTCTAATCACTTCCAAAAATAGTTGTGTTATAGATTCATAGCCTAGTCCATAACACCACTAGTTGTGTTATGAGTCCCATGACATAACTCAAATACTAGAAAAATGATTATGTAAACACGTCATAACCAAACGCTTCTAGTTAATAGTTATTTATATTACTAGTACGGTATGAGCTTCATTACAGTAACGAGTGGGGGATATTGCCAAGACGAGGTCGTAGACCAACTCGTGGTAATCACACGAGTAGTGTGCTGAGTGTTACCATACATGTGATATACAACATTTTATGTACGACCTAGATTTTTTTTTATGCATTCGAAATAGTTTTAATTTTTCACAATAGATTATATTTATAATTTTTTCGAATAAATAAATTTTAAAAAGTGCCGTTTTTCAACAAAAATTAGTTACGTAATGAGCTCATTACATCACTAGTGATGTAATGAGCTCATTATATCACTAAGTACGATAATACAACTTATTACGTAACTCAAACAGGCTAAAATGAGTTATATAATAAGCTCTTACAGTGTAGGTCGTACATAAAGCAATAAAAATGTTAGGCTTTGTAAATAGAACACTGACTGATTTTCATGATGTCATGTGCTTTAAAACGTTGTATTGTAGTTTTGTAAGATCAGTATTAGAGTATGCTAGTCCAGCCTGTCCAGTCTCTATTGTTTGCCCAGCGGATCTGAGTCTACGGAAGGAATTCGGACATAAATGTGCCATGTTGTCACATTTAATTATAAAAAAGCGAAAATACTAGGCATTTAAAAATCCATTTTTTAATAACAAAATATTGATAACAATAATAAAACGTTAAATATTTTAACGTGGTTGTTAGATCTATTCTTATTTTAATCCTGATTTCTTCAATTTGGTCTATTGTAAAAAATTAACATTTTCTAAAGATACCATCAGCTTTTGACAATTTGGCAAGCATCCGGCCTGGATGAACCTGATTGGTGGAATTTTTGGCATGATTACCGTTGCCATGGGGAACCATGCGGTTGTCAATGGGTTAACGTCACCTTATGTCTCGCTATTGGCCAGGGCTTACGTCATTTTATCCTCCCATCTTGGCTTCCCTAAAATAGTTGATGAAAACGGCCATGAGACAAACAAACGCTTTGTTTGTCCCCCTATCAAAAATGAGGTTATGTGTGTGACGTCAGCTATTGTCTCTAGCACCACAAGAAAAATACTAAAAAAAAAACATGATAGGGCCCCAAAAATTTTTTAAGCGTCGGGCCCCAAAGGTCCTAGGTCCGCCACTGTGTACAAGGCAATCAAGCTCTCCGTACTTGTGAACTCTTTTGTAGACCTAATAATAAAGCCAAGTGTTTTCAAAGATGATTGAACGATTTGGTCAATATGTTTATTAAAATAGTTTACTGTCGATAATTACCCCAAGGTCTCGTATGGAATCTACACTTGAAAGATTGGTATTTTCAAGTCTATATGCAAACTTCACTTCATTATGAAGTTTGGAAATAGTCATAGATTGGCATTTATTAATATTTAGCGGAGATTTATTTGTGATACACCAAGAAGACAAGGAGTCAATGTCGTTTTGTAATTCTGAACCTCGTTCTGAACAGTCCTGTATGGTGTCAATAATTCTAAAAATTTTCAGATCATCAACAAACAGTACACACTTAGATGGGATAGTGTCAGTGATACCATTCACAAATATAGCGAATATTAGAGGAGCTAGATTGCTTCCCTGAGGAGCGCCACTTGAAGCGCTGAAATCGGCAGAACAAAAACCGTTGTACTCCACAAACTGTCTTCGCCCACTCAAATATGAGATAAATAGATTTACCAGGTTCCCATGAAACCCAATGTTGTACATTTTCTGGGCAACGAGACCATGATCCAACCTATCGAAAGCCTTCGAAAAGTCAGTATATATGATGTCAAGTTTTTCCTATTATTGATAGAAAGATAAGCTTTTTGTAGGAAACTTGTAAGATTTGTGATAGTTGATCTCTGTGGAAAGAAGCCATGTTGAGTAGGAGATATTAGGTTTTTAACTTGATGGAAGAGACTGTTGTGAATACAGATTTCAAAGGCCTTCAAAAAGTTGGACAGTATGGAGATAGGTCGATAGTTAGTGATATTATTATTTTGACCTGCCTTAAAGACAGGACAAATCTTAGTTTTTTTCCATTGTTCCGGAAATATATATATTTTTTTAAATTCTATCTATTGGAGATAAGATGTAAGGACACTGATAGAAACGGTGAGCAATCACGCAATATAAAAGAAGGTATTTTATCATAACCTGCAGTTTTTGTATCCTTTAATTTTTTGAGTGCACTGCACACTTCAAGCTGAGAAATATTGTTAATGGATATATTTGATGATGCAACATATACACTTTTGAAAAAATTGGCAAATCCATCCACTATGTTTTGCGGGGACTCTAATGACAATTGGTCCAGAATCATTGATCCTGGTATACGAGATTTTTGCCGGATATATTTCCAAAAATTCTTAGGTTCTCTTTCTATTAAATGATTCAGTATTTCTTATGTAATATCTATAGGCTTCATCAATTTCTGCTTTAATAGTCTGCCTAAAAGTCGAAAAAATGTCATAGTCACTTTTTAATTTAGTTTTTTTGTAATTGTTGTGTAGCCCTTGTTTTTGATTTAAGTGACTAATTATTTTTCTAGTGTACCAAGATGGATCTGAGATTTTTTTTGTGTTTATATGGAAAAGAGGGACTGACTGATCAAGAATATTGTAAAATGTCTCGTGAAAGAGAGTTCATCATCCAAGAAGTTCCAGTCTGTTTCTGATAGTAACTGATACATAAGTGGATAGTTTGCTCTTTGAAAGTTATAGTTTTTATTTGTGTTGCAAGGGAAGTTTCTGGTTAAAGATCCCATTTGTGGATTCATTTCAATTGAGAGGGTGGGGTAAGCTAGATCTTCAGGAACAAGGGGTAGGTATAGTTTGTCTGTTTATTTCACACTTAATATTTGTAATGACAAGATCTATTATGTTACCAAAGTGGTTTGGAATATTGTTCAGTTGATCGAAGTCAGTTAAAACTAGAAAATCTTTGAATTTGAGTGATTTTGTGTGAGAGTTGATGTTGAAGTCACCAATTATGATAACTTGATTATTTTGCATAGACTCATAAGTTGTGAAAAAATCAAATAAGCTCTGGTTTAAAGGTGATTTTGGTTGTATTTATATTGTAAAGATATAAATAAAATGGTACTTAAAATAAAGCTAACAGCCCAAAACATCAATCTCTGGAATTTTTGTTCGCTTTTAAGTACACTAATTGTCTCATTATTGGGAGTATGTATTCCTGTTAGACAATAAAGAATTGAATTGAATATATTTTTGAAATCGGGAAATTGTACTCTTCAGGAATATAGAACCAAATATACCTAGGGCATCCACACTGACATTCAATTTTTGTTTTTGACCATGGATTCTAGAAATTTAACCAAAACTGTACAACTTTTGTATTTACACCTTTTTTCTACCTGTAAAGGTAAAGGATGTAGGTGCGGTGTCAATATATAAAAAACACGCTGTACAGAGACGATTTTGGAGAACTAAAATCTGTTTTTTTTTTAAAGATAATTCCCCAAGTCAAAAATTTAGTAACTATGTTGGCAACACAAGCCTTTTCTACGTAAAAAATTTGAAAGCATTGACAATTTTACATTGTATTGCCAACAGAATGTCATTTTGACTTTAATCTTTAAAAAAAAAACAAACTTTAGGTATACATTTTTATGTCCGATTGACCAATAAAGTGGTATTTATAGAACTGTTTTGCGTCAATAAAGTAGCACTTTATTGTACTAGTAAAATAAAGTGCTACTTTATTTTACCAGTAAAATAAAGTGCTGTTGCTGTTGTATTTACAATACATGTGCCTTTGTGGCGTAGAACTTGTCATTTTTTTTTTTTCACAATAAATTAAAAACCTAAATTAAAACTAAAATCGTACATACTACATATAACATATATCTAAGTAAAGAACAACAAACAACATGAAATGAAAGTGAAAAATTACCCCGTTTTACACAAAATCTGAGGAGACACATGGACACTCTCTTTGCTAGTCACAGGAGTGTGTTTTTCGTTTCATCATCAAAATATTCCTGTAGGCCATAATATGATTTTTTTTCCAAGAATTTTTTTAGTTGGTTTTCAATTAATTTGTTGTTTTTCTTTCTAAAACTTAAAGGCAGGCAGTTCCAGATTTTTGTTATTGTGAAAGTGGCATTTTTTTGCAAATAAGAGAAGTGTGGTGTACCAGTTTTTAAGTTATCTTTTTGCCTTGTATTGTGTTCGTGGGACCTTTTTTGGTGATTAAAAAAGTTTTGATTGTTTATCAGGAATTTTACGCATTCAAAAATATAAAGATTGTATACAGTTTGTATTTTGTGTTCTTTAAATAGCTCCCTGCAGCTTTCTTTTTTGCTAATTTTTAGGACTGTTCTAAGGCATCTTTTCTGTAGTTTTAATATTCTGTTTGCTCCTATTGAATTTCCCCATAATATTACACCATATCTTACTCGTGACTGCACATAGGCATGGAATGATCTTAGTGCCGCCCCAACACCAATATTCTCTCTCACTACTCTTAAAGCATAGCAGTATCTGCTCATTTGAGTTGCCACATCCTCAACATGAGCCTCCCAGTTTAGATTTTCATCAATTTTCACACCCAGTATCAGAGCCTCCTCCACTGCCTCCAGATGCTCCCCCTCATACTCTATACTTAGTTTGTCTGTGTTTTTTTTGGTCTGAATTCAATTATTTGTGTTTTATTTTTGTTTAGCATTAAGTTGTTCGCTTCAAACCATTTTTCTAGAGTGGTCAGATCGTTTTTTATTTCAGTTTCAATTTGTTGTTTGTCTTCGCTTTGGTACAGAACTGTTTTGTCATCTGCGAAGAGTATTATGTTGTTTGTTAGTACATTTGTGATGTCGTTTGTGTATAGAATATATAGGAGTGGAGCCAGCACGGATCCCTGTGGAACCCCTTTTTCTATTGTTTTGAAGTTTGATCTGATTTTTTGACCATCACTAGTTGCTTCTTCCACACATTGTTGCCGTTTGTCCAAATATGATTGAAAGAGTTTGTTTTCGATATTCCTTATGCCACACATATCCAACTTTTTGAGCAAGATTTTGTGATCGACTGAGTCAAAAGCTTTTGACAGGTCTATGCTTACTGTTGCTGTAATTTTTTTATTGTTGAGGGATTCGATTACATGTTCAAGTATTTGGTAGATAGCTGTGATAGTTGATTTCCCTTTTCGGAAGCCATTTTGATTTTTGGTTAGGATGTTTTGGTTTTCCAGAAAATCAACTACTTGTTTGTGAATGACTTTTTCAAATATTTTGCTTATGTTGTTTAGTAAGGATATAGGGCGGTAGTTTTTTAACTCATTTTTTTCTCTTTTATTTTTGTAAAGAGGTCTGACAATAGAACATTTTAGTGCAGAAGGAAACACTCCAGTTTTAAATGCAAGGTTTGTTATATATGCTAGAGGCTCCGATATAGAAGTAGCAACTGCTTTTAGTACCTTGATTGGGATTTCATCAACTCCTACGGAATTCTTATTTTTTAAGCTCAATATGATTTTTTCCACCCCCCTGGGGCTGATATTTTGAAAATAAAAATTTTCCTTATGCTTTTTTATGCTTTCTATGTTCTTGTCTGTGTTTCCATTGATATTGGGACATGCACTTAGAAAAAAATCATTTACGTGATTTAGAAAATCAGAGGATTGAGTTTGGTTGAAATTTTCAAAAATGTTTTTTTTCTTTAGTTTTGTTTTTGTGAATCTATTGATGGCATTCCAAGTTGCTTTTGTTTTATTTTCTGCGGAGTTTATTTCTTTGTTATGTGATAGCTTTTTTGCATTTGTTATGGTTTTTTTAAAGAGGTTTGAGTATTTTTTGTAATATTTTTTACTCACCTGTCCAGTGAGGTAGAGTTCATATAGACTTCTTTTATGCTTTATTGAAGTTCTAATACCCTTTGTGATCCAGCTCTTACGTGTTCTTTTTTGGCCTTGTTTAGTCTTTACTGGAAATATTAAATTTAAATAATAGGAAAGAATGCCCACAAAAGTATCGTATGCAAAGTTGACACCCTCCCTCAAGTATACACCATCCCACGCGTAGCCTTCAAGTTCCTCTTTAAATTGTGCTATTTTGTTTCCTGAGAACGTCCTACCTGAAGATTTCGATCCTAATTTTCTGCAGAAATTGACAGTTTTTATGCTTATAATTTGCGCATGATGATGGCCTATACCATCTTTAATTACTTTATTGCTGGAGAATTCATTCATATTTACAAAGATGTTATCTATGCACGATTCTTTATATTGGTTTGGCCGTGTTATATCAAAAATTGTCTGTTTAAAGTTGAAAGTACCTAGCAAATCAAGTACCATGTCTCTATTCCTGATTTCTTCCCTTGTTAGTTTATTATTTTGTTTAATAAAATTAACATTGAAATCCCCCACCCATATTATTTTATATGTCTCAAATTTTGCAAAAGTTTTTTTCAGAATGATGTCGAATATTTGATAAAAATGTTTAAATGATCCCAGACATGATCTATATATACAGCCTACTATTATCTTTCTTTCTTCACTTATCACTGCTGACATTTCAAAAGTTCCTTCAATGTTGTAGTTTTTAAAGAGTTCAAGTTCGTCAAAGTCGTTGATATCTTCTCTTGTAAATACACAGGTTCCTCCCCTACTGCTGTAGGTTCTTGCAAAGCATGATACAAGCTGGTAGCCTTCGATCTTCGTGAAATCTACCTCCTGTGGCTTCATCCAATGTTCACTTATGCATAAAATATCCGGAGGCTTTTGAAAAGTGCTTCGAGTTCAGATATTGATGTTTTCAAGCATTGAATGTTCTGATGGAAAATGTTTAAATCTGTATCTGATCCTTGATTCTCTCTTTGCAGAGGATTTGACTTTCGTTCAATTTTAGCCGTCGTAGGAGATATACATATGTCTGAGATATTCCTAGTACTGTGTTGACGAGTATGTTGGTCCCCATCCTGTATCATAATAGTGTTCTGTTGGTCGAAAAAAACAATACTTGTTTGGATATCTCGAGGGCTCTGGCCTGATTGGCGTTTGATTTTTTATATGTTTGTTGTTCATCCACATACTATCAGCATTTTCATTATTCACAACCCCATCCGATCCACAATCACCCTTTTCATAGTTTTCTGCATAGTGTTTTTGCGGAGTGAAGCTATGGAGTAGTTTGGTTTTGTTTTGGATTTTCTTCGTTCCATTTATAGGAGTGGATGATCTGCATATTATGTTTGTAGCCTCAGATGGCTCTACGTAATCTGCTTTGCCTGATATTGGTCTTTGTAATGTAATATTTTGAAGTATGGTAATCTTGGGTTTATTGGAGAATGGTTGTCTGAGCTTTTGTAAAGTTTTTTTTTTTATATAAATACCTAATTAATTTAAAATAAATTTATGAAAAACAATTTCTAATATTTACTTTCTTCTTATGGCCATTTTTACCAACTATTTTAGGAAAGCCCTAACAATAGGTATGTCCTTAACTGACATTTCTCCATGTAAAAATGTCATTTTAGGGAATACTTATCGTTAGGGCTCTCCTAAAATAGTTGGTGGAAATGGCCATTCACTCCCATATGTACGAACCACAATTATTAGCTCTTTTAAGCTTTAAAAAAACCTTAGTGATGATTATTGATCTTTTAAAATATGATTTGTATCGGTCTAAAGTTATCGGCCAATGAAGGGCCGATATACCGATATACCTGAAAAAGGCCGATACACCGATATGCCATATCGGTATCGGTCGATCCCTGCTGACAACCTGCCAAGGTGAAACAGATATACCTAGGCGAATTTTACTTTTTTCATTAAATTTTTTTAATTTTTAACAAAAATCAGTCGCAATCGTACATAACGCTTACATAAACAGGCTTTATTGACTCATTATTTAATAGCCTCGCTCGCAAGCTCGCTCGGCCATAAAATTATTCGTACAATCAAGCCTTACTTTATGTACTTGTTATATAAATAGCTATAATTTGGGAATTTCCATCCCATTATTAAACATTTGTATGGAAATTTGAATTTACAATTTACCACTTTTGGAAGTTAGAATGGGTCTGTTCTAGACCTACCTGACTATATCCATCTACCATCAGTCCAAGATCTTCATCTTTATTTAAAATGTGTACGGTAGTCTTTCCTTCGCCATCCAGGGCTTTCAAAGGTGCTCCTGTACTAATCGCTCGGCTACAATATGTTAAATTGAATCTATAGTCTGTCGGCACAAGAAATTGATGTCAGTTTACCTTAGTAGATTGCCTAAGCATCTGAATACCGGTCTGTTGGCTAGTAAATTCATCACTTCTTGTTTATAAATTAAAATTAAAATAATTTTTAAAAGTTGTTTTGTTTTCGAGGTTATGTGTGGCTTTGGATAGCGCTTTCTTCTTTTCAACCGGAGGTGCTTTCCAGTGACCCATTTGAGTTACTCCTGAGCAGCTCAGGAGTGCTCTTGAGCTACTCATTTCTGTTATCCCCTACCCCCTCGAGCAACAACCCTTTTGCTTGTGTTTCATGCTCCTGAAATCCGAAATGGTGGGGGTTAAGACGAGAGCGTTCCAGTGCTGCTTATGTCGAACAGTTCAAGAGCGTCACACTTCAGGAGCATGATACTCTAAAAGGCTCATCCTCAATCAATTTAAGCTACATCCTCAATCAATCTGCTAGCGAAGTGGCACTTTGGGACCTTTCTCATGCAATTAACAACAAGGATAGTTTATTAAGCTTTCTGCAATAAAGAAAGAGACACATATAATGACGCGCGATACCTGTGTGGAATGACTTTGATTGGTTCCACTTGTCAAATTGTGCAATTTCGGTTATGTTTCTGTTTTTGTTTATTTTTAAACGTAAATATGACAAAATACTTATTAACATTAATTAGAAAAAAAACCCACCGCAGCAGAAATGTTTGCAGTAAACCTTTAATTGTACATTATTGTATTTGATATAAAAATCGTTATTTTACGAACCCTCAAATCTCTGTCCCAACCTAAATCGACTTCATTCGGGTTGAGAGCACGTAACTATTGTTTTCTTACAATTTGATTGCTTGGAAACTTGTGAAAAGAAAGGTTTGATTCTTTTTCGCCTGATTCTGACAAGAACTCATTCAACTCATTTGAACCATTGTATCATAAACAGTTTTTGTAATAATTTTCAGCAATATTGATTGATATCATAGAATAAAGTTTATTGATATGATCGATTATTGAGGTTAGCTTAAATACGTCAGGGTCAGACCGTGTTCAGTAAATTGACGATTTAATTATCTGTCACCCACAAGATGCGCGCGCAGCACAGGTAAAATGAAAAAGGTCCAATGGACCTTTTATTAAACGAACGTGAATGAGCCTGAACCGAGTACACTTTTTGAATAAACGAACGGTAAATTCATGCTCAGAGAACTCAGATCAAAATGCCGAAAGCACGGTATGTGACCGTACTACACGCAGAGCAGACTGAAAATTGACAGCATTGAGGATGAGTATAAATTTTCCAGCACGCGTGCCAAAGTGTCACTTCGCTACCAGATTGATTGAGGATGTAGCTTAAAGCCTAGTAGAGAGGCGATTTTCAGCCTGGAATGATTATTATTTGGTTATAACCAATGCATTTCCGCCGTCGCGGTTTTAACCAAAGTAGGGGAAGTCGTGACGTCACACATCAGCTGATTTGCTTTTGGTATTTACCACTTATAACCGATTATAACCCAGCTTTGGACTTGGGTTAATCTTCTGGTTACAGCTTTTTGATGTTATTGTAATTATTTTTGGAATTTGTATTGGTGTTATGTGATTTTGCAGTTGCGTTGTAGCCTGGCACAATGAAAGAAGTATACATTCACTCACTCACTGCAATTCACCATGTTTAGATCATCCCCAAAGAAAATCTGTTCAATAAACGAGACTAACGAGAGATTCAGCTCCATTTTTTGTACTTAAACAAAAAACTATTGTTGAAATAAAAAAACAAATAAGAATAATAAACATAATTCTACTCTACCTACACTGCTATAACCAAATCATTTCAGCGGCAGTTCCTTGGGTTATGATTCTTGAATGGTGGGGGCTATGACGTCACACTTGGCTATCAAAGTTGTCAACCAAAAGAATAACCACGGTATTTACCGATAAATAATCATTCCAGGCTGAAAATCGCCTTTAACAATTTAGGCACTGGAAAGCGGCTCGGGTGTACTGAATGTAGTTCTATGTCACTCTATGTTCTAAAATAATTAAAAAATACGAGGATATTGGTGAATTTCGGATTACCAAAACTTGAATCTATCGGGTCTTCAAAAAAAAAACCAATCAAAGATTGCTTTGGTTACGAAAACGTACGTCGCATTATTGTTTCTTTATTGGTCAGGATTTTTGACATGACATTTTGACATTAATTCCATTGACTGACATTGTCAAAATTAAAGAAAAATATTGCTAAGACATACGTTTAAAAAACCACAGATATTTTAAAATAGCGAAAAAATTAATTGACGTGTCTCGTAATACCTGTGCGCGCGCAACTCGTGGGTTGCAGGTGAGCGTCCAATGAAAATCGAGTTTGTTACGGGCTTGCGTCATATTCGTATTCAGGGACGAGTTCAGAATTATTCGTTCCTTCTTTCTTTGTAACGTATAATTTGACAAAGAGCAAACTAATACTTTACGTATTACTTGAACTTATCGCAGTGTCGTTTAAGGTTATGTTAGATTATACTTACTTGACACATTCCTTTGCAATTTCATTGTGTAATGTTGTCGAATGAAACATTTATCAAAATAAAAGTGCCATCGAAGTTAACATAAAATTTAAAGCTCTTCTTTTGTCTGATTTAAGGCGTTGTAGAACACTTGACAATTATATCACTTCTTCAATGTTATAATGTTCGATTTGTATTGTCTACATTTGTTCTGCAACAATACAATCTGGCTACACTGCAGCCACGCGTTGCGCGCGCATGTCATTTTTCAATACTTTTTAACTTGTATTATTTACAGTTAGGCTCTCTTTTTCTATTCCTGCGAGACACGTCAATTGGAAATACAATAAAAGTTTAAAGCAGATCTCTTATCTCTTTCAGGAATAGATTTGTTTAGTTCGACCACATATTGCTAGATGTCGTTAAAAATTAACCATTTTTAAAGGTCACTCTATCTCATATTCAAATTTTGAATATTATGCGCCAAGCGCAAACAATCATCTTGACAACGATGTTTTATCAATCATCAGTTTAGAATTTTTCCCTGCAGTATTATTTGCTTATATACATTCATTTTGCTTATATACATTCATTTTTACAAATATGGCAGGCCTTCCTAAGCTGCCAGGGTTTAGCTTCAACGATCCCACTGTAAGTAAGTTTGTCTCTAATAAAAACCCTGTTTTAAATCCACGATGTGGTCTTCCAGCTCACCAAGTTCCACCTATCTCAAACTTTTGATATCGTCAATGGGTATAAACAACCCAGGACCCAATATATGGGTATAGGTGGACGAGAATTGGACTCAAACTCGGTGAAGCACATCCATAAATCGGATCCAGTTCGCTATGACCCTTCACTTACCTATGGTAGATGCAAATCCAAGCCTTACCCACCTTTTCGGCCCCATTTTGCATTGTATGATCAAAAATGTTTAACTTTTAAAGCATTTTTCAAACAATCCGTTGTTGAGTCACCATTTGAATTCTACAGGGTGAGGCCTGTGAATATTATTTATTTTTTGGAGGATGATTCTATTTCGGTTATGGAGCCTAGAGTTATAGTAAGTATAGGACTGCAACAACGACAGTCTTGAATAAGGTTTGCTTTCTGTAGAATAGTGGTCTTCTACAAGGAAAAATTGTAAGAAGAGGACATATACCCAAGTACGACGATGGTTCTTTTTGGCACTGGAAAGATTTACAAGTTGGAAAAGATTTGGCTTTTTATGGTACTGTTTACCATACTGTTGATTGTGATCTGTTTACACGGGTTTGAGTTTGTCTTTTATTTCATTTGAAAATTTTATATACGAAATGTCTCTAATAGGAATACATGGCAAGTCAAGGTATTGATATGGGTGAACCTGAAGAAATGCCTTACGACCCATACACTTACCACAGACAACTTCAAGTAATCCCCAAAGTAACCAAAACACCTCCAGCTGATGACAAATTGCGTAGATTCTTGGAGTTTGATGGTAAAGTTTTGAAATTCAAAGCCGCTTGGGATGACAGGGAGAACGAATATGGAGAATTGATGAAGTTTGAAATTTTATATTTTTTGGCTGACGATACTGTTTTGGTGAAGAATGTGCAGCAGGAGAACAGTGGTAGGGATCCTTGTGCTGTGTTGTTGAGGAAAACTAAACTTCCAAAGGTAACAACTCGTATAATATTAGGCATTTCAGGGTTGGTTTTATGATTACTGAAGTAATTAAAATTGGAAACTGTATATAGAGCTCAGATCTACACTTAGTTGCCGTATTAAATCGGTCATGACTCAGTAACTATTGTGTAATAATTTTTTAGATCTACACAGATACTCCAGTTACTTATCCAGCAATCTACTTGGAGAAATCTGACCACGAAGTTACCGAATACTACCAACCGAGAGATTTTTTGGTTGGTAACACTATTTTTGTATTGGGCCGAGATATGCTTTTGTATGACTGCGACAAATTTACAAGAGACTATTACAAGTAAGCAAACAAACTATAGTTTGTGGAATATGTCACAGTTTATTTGTATTTAAGAAACGCCCTTTGTATTGAGCAAAAACCAGCACTGCAGTTAGAAGAAAAGGAAATACCGACTCCCCCAGTTCAAGTACCTCCTCACGATGGTTTAGGAAGCTTAGAAGATTCCTTACAAAACACTTTAACCTTTCTAACGAAAACACCAAAAAAAGATGTTGCAAAACAACTTATCAATGCTAACAAATTCTTACGTTATCAAATGATTATGGATGCAGCTCATCCTGAAGACACTATCCGTAAATTTATACTCTCATACTCGCTAGCGGATGGTACTTGCACGATCCAGGAGCCACCAATTAAAAATTCAGGGATACTCGGAGGAAAATATTTAAGAAGCACACTTCTGGTCAAACCCAACACAGATCCTTTAAATCCAGAATTGTACACTCCAGGAGATTTCTATATTGGTGCCATAATAAATGTTTTCAGTCAAAGATTTATCATAACAGGAGCCGATTTGTATGTTTACAGATATATGCAAGAAAACTTTAGCAAATTTTCTTGTGAAGTAATAGACAATATAAGAAATTGGATGTTTAGACAAGGTTACCTTAAGGGTGATCTTGATGATTTGGTAAAGGATAACTTTGAATCGAAGAAGGACTTTGAAGAAACCATAGGTAGGTAAGTTTAGTTGTAAGAAATTAACAACAAATATTAAATTTCATTGATAATTTCCAGATGAACGTAAGCTAACTGATCTGGAAAAATGCCTTAGAGAAACTGTAGGTGATGTGGAAGATGACAAAGTCAAGCAACAGAAAATGCTTCAGGAATATGAAGATTCCATTAAACATACTTACAAAGTTCCTCCTCATGGAATTGTGCCTGTGCAAATGGAATGCCCCTATCCAGTGTATACTGGAGAACCAAAAGATCTCACTTGTAAAGAAGATGTTGAAGGTAGCACTTTCAATTCATATTACATACCAGTTTTCACAAATTTTTGATTTATTTTTGTAGGAAAATACACGTCTTATACTCCAAAGCACATAGACACTCCTGAAGAGGTAACAGAAAAGTATTATAGAGGCGTGCTCCAAGAGCAACAAGAAGTTTGTGATGGAAGATATCCTATCCAGTGTACTGATACCCCTCCCAGAGAAAAAGAACGTGAAGAAAGAAGTGGACCCATTATGACAAGTCCGGAGGACATTCCTCCAGGATCCTGTAGAATCAAGAAGAAGAGTGTGAGGTTTGAGGATCATTGTACAAAGGATAGGAATGATCTTTGCGATTTGAAGACAGAGAAAACTCATTGCGATTGTACGGACTATTGTCCGTAATTTGAATAGTTTTATTTTTATAATAAAATATTTTTCAAATAATTGTTTTGTTTTCTATTATCATCATCATAACTATTTGATACTAGATGGTTTAATTAAATAAAAAAATCGGAAAATCTAATCTTGAGAAATCCATGCCAAGAGTCTGCTAGTGTTACTCTCCCTTAGAGGAGTTATCAAGCCTAACTCCCTTTCTTATAATAGTAAACATTTACTATTAAAGAACAATTTTAACAGGAAAAACTCATTGAGTTATGTTAGGTATTTTATTTAAAATCTAATTACTTAATTAAATCAATTACAAATTATATAACTTCTTATTTTATTTACCTTTTCGTAAAATTCTGATCCATATGTCTAGAAGACCGCTGAATATTATTCAATTTCGACTTGATTCTTTCTTCGACCGAAGAATGTTTTGCGCTTTTTAGAAGAGCATTGTGGATCAAATCAGCATCAAATTTTTTAGACACGAGTTCTTCTTCCTGTTTATTATTCTCCCTATATTTTTTAACAGTATACTCGCGCTCTATATCCCGTGATTTGGCATTTTGCATCATTTCTTTTCTTAGTTTTTCTTTTTCTTGTTCAGTCATTTTTCTGATATTTTTTCTTTCAGTCTTTACAGGCTCCTCAACCTTTTTTGTTGCTGACTTTTTCTCATATCTTTCATTTTTCAAGGCGATGCTTTTACCATCTGATGTCACTAGACCAAAAGATTTCTTTTTAGGTTTTTCATCTTCTGAGTCACTATATTTGAATTTCCTATTTTTTTCCTGATCCTCACTACTAGTGTCTGAATCTGAATCATTACTTTTTTTGAGATTTTGGGGTTTCTCTGGATAAAGTACTTTCTTTTCGGCTTTAGTTTCGAGTTCGCCTCTTAACAACTTTAATTGAGCCATTATTTTTTTTTCTAGTTCAGTTTCGCTGTCATTCTTCGTCTTACTTGATTTCTCTTCATATTTTGTTGCCTTCTTCGTAGACGTTTCTTCTACTGAACTATTATTCCTATTCTTTCTTATATTTTCATATTTAACCTCTCTGCTTGCTTTATAATTTTCTCTTGATCTACTCCTGCTTCGTGAACGTCTCCTTGAAGTTGCTTCTCTTCTTTTTTTATCATTTCTTAAGCGCTCACTACTTTGTCTCCTTTCTTTTGACCTACTTTCACTGCTATTTCTTCTCTTGTTATGGAATTCCTGTTCTTCACGTTTGCTTGGTCGTCTTTCATCCCTATTTTTGCTAAAAGTATTTTTGGCTTCTTTACTTCCACTGTATGATCTACTTCTATTTCTTCTCTTATTATGGCAATCCTCTTCTTCTCGTCTTCTTGGTCGTCTTTCGTTATTATCATCTCTTAAAGTATTTCTTTTGTGTTCTTTACTTTTACTGTCTGACCTACTTCTATTTCTTCTCTTATTATGGTAATCCTGTTCTTCACGTCTTCTTGGTCGTCTTTCGTCATTATCGTCTCTCAAAGTATTTTTTTTGTGTTCTTTACTTTCACTGTCTGACCTACTTCTATTTTTTCTCTTATTATGGTAATCCTGTTCTTCCCGTCTTCTTGTCTGTCTTTTATCATTATTGTCTCGAAAAGTTTTTGTTTTATCTTCTTCACTTTCACTGTCTGATGAATGCTGTTTCTTTCTAGTCTCTGTCTCTTCATCACTGTCACTGCTCACTTTTCCATTTAAGATATCATTCAAATCCTCTTCAGATAATTTGGCTTTCAACGCGTTAAATTTGTGCATTAAAATTGTATTAAGCCCATCATCTTTGTCTTTTTTGGATTCTTTTTTAGATGTTCCCAATCCCAAAGGATTGCCTTTGAGGTTTTTAAGTTTGTTTTTAATTTTTTCATCCAAATCGGAATGCTTTTTTTTCTTTTTCGGTTTGTTCTTTTTGAGATGCTTTTTATGCAATGCTTCCTGGAGTTTTTTGAGCTGGACTGGATTTTGTAGGAACTGTCTACGAGCTTCTTCTTCACGTTTTTTGATGGCAACTAAAGGATCTTCTTGTAGTTTCGTAGATAAATCAACCTGGAAAAGAGAACTATTTGAGAAGAAGTAAATTTAGCCCCAAATTTGTTGTACAAACAAACAAAGGGATTAAGAAATACTTAGTTTGATTACAGAATAAATGTTCTGAGGGTAAGCAGAGTCTAATTTTTTGCTCATATCGGTTAAATAGAAATTGAGAATTTGCTATAACCAATGACATGCCCATAACTGTAATATCTCATTCAAATGCTCACTCGCATGTGCAGCTAAGCTGTGTTGAAAAATATGGAACTCATTGATTTGCTCGTTTTACAATGAAATAAAATATTCAAAATAAGCGTGAATAAAATACACTACTCTTGATCCTCTGTTGAGGACTTTCGAAGGACCACCCTTTATTATAGGTCAAAGGGAACCCAAACACATTAACGAGAATTAATACTTTAATTGATTAACCATTTATTGCGGTACAAAACGAATTTTTAATTGATTATTAGTCAAACAATAACAACGTGATGTCGTGACATGCTCTCGAATCCGTCTCTTCTTATTGGTCGCGCCGAGCGATCCTATTGGTCGCGCTGAGCGATCCTATTGGTCGCTTGCCGTTCTTCCTGCAGCTGTTCTTGCGCGTTGCCAGATCCTTTTGAGTTGCTAGGTTTATTACGGCGTTGCCATGTTTAAGAATGTTGCTACACTTTTGTTCAATATAACAGTCTGATATAAGAAATTTGATTTGAATGTTCAAATAGATTTGAATGTCCAAACATATCGCCCCCGTTGAAAAGTTTTAAGTTTTCGAAATGAAACTTTAGCACTTGACACTTGAAATGTTTGCAACACTGCTGACAGTTAAATAGTTTATATTAGTCTTTATTCTGTTGGTAAAAGGCATATCTTCTTCAACGACCTTTTCGTAACTGCTCCGCTGCGTAGGCGAACTGACACTACCCTGGTTATGTGATCGGTACCAGGGTGAAGCTGCACCACACGTGCCATTGACCACTTGAGGGGAGGCAAGTTGTCCTCTACTAGGACAACCATCGATCCGATTTTTATTTCATCGACTGTCTCTTTTTTCCATTTGGATCGATTTTGTAGAGTGGACAGATATTCCGAAGACCATCGGTCCCAGAAATGCTGGAATATTTGCTTTAATCGTTGGTATCGGGTCAAACGGTTCATTTTTATGTCTCTGACGTCTTCATCAGGTGGTAGTAAGAGAGAGCTCCCGATGAGGAAGTGAGAAGGACAAAGGGGTTGAAAATCGTTTAAGTCATTGGACAATGGGGTGAGAGGACGAGAGTTTAGTACAGCCTCGATCTGTACTAACAATGTATACGTTTCTTCATAGGTTAAATTTGCGTTTCCCAAGCCTCGCTTCAAGTGAAACTTCAGGGACTTTACTGCTGCTTCCCACAGGCCGCCCATATGAGCTGAACGAGCGGGAATGAAGCTCCAGTTAATTTTATCGGGTGCTAAGAAATTTTTAACGCCTTTTTCGTGTGATGGACTATTTATTAATTCTTGAAGCTCAAGAAAATAATTGTTGCTGCCAACGAAATTTAACCAGTTATCTGAGTAAATATTGATAGGTTTTCCTCGACGAGCACAGAATCGTTTTAAACAATGAAGAAAGCTATCTGTCGATAAATCGCAAGCCAACTCGATATGAATAGCTCGAGTTGCAAAACATACAAATACGCACACATATGTTTTTACGAGCCTACTACGACGAGACGTGTTTTCTTTAACATAAATAGGTCCGGCATAATCTACACCTACGCTACTGAAAGGTCGGTTAGGCGTGACACGATTAAGAGGTAGATCTCCCATTAAAAAATTACCGGGTTTAGGGTTGGCTCTAGTACATCTGACGCATGATTTAATTACTTTCTTAACTATATTCTTACCCTTGATAGGCCAATATTTTAGTCTTATGATGGAGAGTAATGTTTGACATCCCGCGTGAATATTGTACAAATGCTCATCTAAAACTATCAGTTCCGTGATACGACTTTTATATGGCAAAATTACAGGGTGTTGCTGGTCATAATTTAAATGTACTGCGTGAGTCAGTCTGCCACCAACTCTTAAAACTTTGCTTTGATCGAGAAAAGGATGAAGACTTAAAATACGACTACTACTACTTATTTGTTTACCTTTATTAAGATCTGATATTTCTTGTTTAAATGCCTCATTTTGAGCGACTCTAATTAAAATCAAATTAGCCTCATTTAACTCTGAAACACTTAAACTTTCTCCAGATTTTATTATCTTATTTAATGTTCTATTTTTGAATCTTACAATGTACCCTATAATTCTTTTGAGTTTATCGAGTTTTGAATATTTGTCAAATAAATCAAAATTTTCATTTTCAATTTCGAGTGTCGGTTTTTCTACAGTATTTACAACGAGACTAACATTTTTCATTTCCGGAAGTTTCTCTAAATCAAGTTTATAAGAATAGTCCGTGATTTTCGAGCTTAGGTAGGTGTCGTCTTTTAGAAATTGTGGCCCGTTAAACCACATACTATTGTTTAACAATTCAGTTGGATTTACCCCTCGACTTATAATATCTGCAGAGTTTTCTTTAGATCGTACGTGTCTCCATTCATTAAAATTTGAGATTTCCAAAATTTTTGAAACTCGATTGGCAATGAAAGTTTTTAGTTTTGAGGGTTCAATTTTTAGCCACGAAAGAACGATCGTTGAATCAGTGAAATAAAGTGTTCTATAAATGTCAATATTTAATGTGTTTTTAATTTTTGAGACTAACTTTGCGAGAAGATGAGCTGCTGAAAGCTCAAGTCTGGGTAATGTTTCTTTTTTGAGTGGCGCAACTTTGGATTTTGCAGTTAATAACTGAACAATCTTGCTACCGTCATCGTTGTATGAAGCTAAATACACTACACACCCATAAGCCTTCTCAGAGCTGTCACTGAATCCATAAATCTCTACATGCTTACAATTTTCAGCTAAAACGTGTCTTTCAATACAAATGTCATTTAAGAGATGAATTTCCGAGATAAATTCTAACCAATGATCCTGTAGATCCTTTGGTACTTCTTGATCCCATTCTAATTTCCTGTGCCACAGTTCCTGTATTATTAGTTTCGCTTTTATTACAGTAGGCCCAATCAGCCCCAATGGATCAAAAATCTGCGCGATTGTTGACAAAATTGTACGTTTTGTAATTTTATTTTTATTTATCGTGACATTAACGTTAAACTTTAAAAGATCAGAATTCGCGTCCCATATAATCCCTAAAGTTTTCAATTATTTTTTTATCATGAAACAGAACATAGTTTTCATCGTCCGTTACGTTTTGTTTTTCGATATAATTTAAAATATGTTTACTGTTTGACGACCATTTTCTTAATTCCAACTTTGCATCGTTTAAAATTTCTGATACTTCGTGATAAATATCTAAAGCTTCCGATTCCGAATCAACACTGGTGAGGAGATCATCCATGTAAAAACAAGTTTTAATAACTTTTGAAGTTCTAGGATACTTATTTTCAAATAAATCCGCTAGTTCGTGTAAGCAACGCGTAGCCTGCCATGGTGCACTCGAAGTGCCGTATGTGACAGTATTTAAATCGTAAATTTTTATTTTTTCGTCGGTACTTTCACGCCACAATATTTTCTGGTAGCTACGTTCGCTTGGATCTATCCAAATGCACCTATACATCATTTTTACGTCAGCATAAATGACATACTTCCGTAATCTTAATCTTAACAATATAGAAAAAAGATCCGATTGAATTGTTGGTCCTACTAAGATTAAATCATTAAATGAAATTCCGTTGCTGCTCTTCGAGCTAGCATCGAAAACTACTCGACATTTTGTAGTTACAGCACTATCTCTCAGCACGGCACTGTGAGGCATAAAATATGAATTTCTTTCCAAAGAAACGTCCGAATCAAAGAATCCACTAAAGGTCATGTGTCCTAAGGATTCGTATTCCCGCATAAATTGTAAATAGTGCGTTTTTAAATTGCTATCTCTGTTCAACCGTGTTTCTAAATTTTTTAGTCTTTTAACAGCACTACATTTTGAGTCTCCTATAAACTTCAAATCTGTGGCCTGTTTAAATGGGTATTTGACTACAAACCTATTATCATTACTGCAGGTCGTGGTTTCTTTAAAATACTGTTCGCAATATTTTTGATCATTGGATAAAAAATTATTAGGTTCGAACTCTTCAAGTAGCCAGAATTTTTGTAATGAATCGTGCAAAGCATTGTTTGAAATTTTTGAAGTGTTGCATACGGTTTTTCGATATCGTTCGTGAATGTTTAAAGGACCGACTAATACCCATCCTAAAGATGTTTCTTGTAGAATTGGAAGATTAGTACCTAACTTTATTTTGCCTGATTGCAACAAGTCATAAAAAACTTCTGATCCGAGTAATAAGTCTATTTGTTTGGGAACGTTAAACTTTTCATCTGCGAGACAAATGTCTTTGGGAACGTTAATCAATGATTTTTTGAATTCTACGATAGGGAGTTGTTCTGTTATTATTGGCAATACTAAAAACGTTAAATTTCTTGTGAAATTTCCAAATCGCGATTTTATACATGCAAAAGTCTTACTGTTGATTTTTGTTTGAATCTGATTGATGCCTGAAAGGGGAACATTGAAATCTTCGCATTTCAATTTTAATTTATTTATCAAAGACTGGCTAATCAGATTAGATTGGCTTCCTGAGTCGAGTAAAGCATGACATTTAGTCCAATTTCCATAAGAATCTTTTATTAAAATAGTTGCGGTAGACAATAATACCTGACTTTCTGAGATAAGACTATACGTGCTTGAATTACTTTCAATTAATTGACATTTTTCGCTCCCGCCACCTATTTCCAATAATTGCTCATTATTCATTTCTGTGCTAGTTACACACATCGTAGCCGTAGGCCTGGTGGTAACATTACCTATCTGCTGCCTTTCTCCGCTACCTGCATTTGCCGTCGGCTCTAGCGCTCCTGAAAACGACGCCGAAGAAGGCCCCGCGCGAGCCCTATCTTCCCCCAATGATATAAAATTTACAGCTGAAGGCGAACGCTGAAGTTGTCGTGCAGCATTGTTGTACGTTTGTGACTGATTAGAATAATTATTATTTTTTGGATTATCATTATTTTGAGAATAGTTGTTTCTAGAATAATTGCTGGAATTTGAAGCATTATTTTGATTAGAATACGAGTTAAGAGATCGATCTACGTGTA